GATTATTTGGTTTATCGCCTACATGACAAATTGGACTAATTTGTCTGTTCTCCCAAAGAAAAAGTGTACATATCTCCTTATTATTCTGTTAAAACTCTTGAGATTACTGTTAGCAGTATGCATTTAAGATTAGATTAATCGTAGTTTACATTAATTGCAATTAAATTTAATTGCCTCTAGCTTTATATAAAGGGAGGGCTTGTACTATTCATTTGGTTATTTGAATATACCACACTTTCCTTTCTTTTATCATAAACCACACAAATCTCAACTTGGTATCAGAGCCATTGTTATATGAGAAGCGCCCATTGAGTTTGCTAGACCGTGGCCGCCATAACGCCAGTCGCACCGACCACGTCCCTCTAGTTCTCTACTAAGACCGAAGTTTTTAGTTGCCCATTGGCATACTTTCGCTACTCATTTTGGAAAACCAAGACCACCATTAGAGAGACAACCCACATCCTGAAATTTTATCACCAACGGATGCCGGACGCCACTACACGCGCCCCCACATGTTGCTATATCTCGGACCCATGGAGCCTGCCGCTATACAGTGGCGATTTGGACACCCTACACCGTGTTTTTCAAAAAACCAACACCAACTCACGACTCACCGCCCTCCACCGAGTCAGCCTGTCAATTTTTGTCAACATCCTCCCTTGGACGCGTCGCCAGAAATCCTGCCCGTGAGATCCATGCGCCTCCCCAGGCGACCCACACCCATCGGCTCTATAGGCTGTTAACGTCATCGTCATGTCATCCCACCATTGACTGGACATTGACCAACATTCACCAGTTCAGACCAGATTGGTTTCGTCGCATTTCTGATTGGTTTTTAGTGTTTTCATAACGGTTCTTGAGGTATTTCGACATCCTGAGTTCGTTTTTGGCCTTATTTTGTCCATATCTACTCTCGATATACTGGATTCTATTGATTTTATACTAGTAAAGTGTTTATCATGAATAAAGTGGAAGTCTCAATACCCATTCAGACTATTTTGAATGGTTCTAATTATGTTTTATGGGCTCAAGAAATATCATGTTTCTTAAAAGGACGTCGGATTTGGCGTTATGTCATTGGAGAAATTAGTGCAACTAAAATTGCTTAAGAAACTAATCTAAATTTGTGGATCGTTAATGGGATAGCAGAAATCATCAAATTCTCACATGCTTTCAAAAATTTTGGATCCATCTATCCGACTCAAGTTTGGCCTTTTTAATATGGCAAAGTAAGCTTGGGATCTTCTTACGCATCGTTATTCCAGTTCGAATGTTGCCCATTAGTATCAGCCATTAGGGAATTTATATCACATGCATTAGGAGCTCGATCAATTCATTAATGATTTTCTATCATCTATGCATGCTATTCGGGATTAGTTGACCTTGTCTGAACCGTGCTTGGAGGAGGCTAGTAATGCTCGCAAAATTGCTAAATATCTTATTCATATTCGTGTCATGCAATTTTTGATGGCCCTAAATGGTGAGTTTGAACCTGTGAGGGCCCCCTTTCTGCATAGAGATCCTTTTCCTTCTATTAAGACAGTTATATCAGAATTATTGATTGAAGAGACTTGACTGACTATCTTGAAAGCGCAACACCCTGCTGTGCCCATCTCCACGCCTACAGATGTGGTACTTGTAACTTCAAGTTCTTCCTCCTTGCGCCACCCATTTTGCAAATACTATCACCGACATGGTCATTTAACATCAAATTATTATCAGCTATGACCTACGCAACACACTGGATTGGTTAAGTTCCTTAATTTTAAGTGGCCCTTTAGGTTTGTTAACACTAAACATTTTGATTATTTGTCTTGTAAGTTGGGAAAACATCATGCTTTACCATTGTAGACTAGTGAATCTATATCTCATGCTCCCTTTGATCTCATTTACTCTGATATTTGGGGACCATCTCCCATCTTCCACCCCCACCATGGGTGGCTCTCGCTATTTTATCATTTTTGTGAATGATCACTCTCATTATACCTGACTTTATCTTATAAAAAATCGTTCTACTCTTTCTCGTATTTATCGTGATTTATTTGCCATGATCGAAACCCAATTTTCATAACATATCAAACTTTTTTGTATCAATAATGCTATGGCATATAGAGATACATAATTTCTTAGAATTCTTTCTCAAAATGATACTATCATTCATCGCTCTTGCCCAGGCACTTCCTAGCAAAATGGTAGAGCAGAACGTAAGCATAAGCATTTCTTAGATGTTGTACGCAATCTTCTCATCTCTGCCTCTTGTCCTAAACAGTTTTGGAGACAAGCTTGTCATACTAATGTTTACACTATCAATTGTACTCCATCACCCATTATAGATAACATTTCTCCTTACGAGCGTTGGTATGGTAGTGTCCCCAATTATAGTCTTCTTTGCGTCTTAATGGTGCTTGTTTTGTGTACCATTTTCCACATGAGCGCACGAAATTAGAACCCCGTGCCCATTTATGTTGCTTCATTGCATATGGCCTTGAGCACAAAGGGTATAAATGTTGGGATTTCATTTCTAACCGCCTTCGTATGTTTTGTCATGTTACCTTTTAGGAGCACAAGATGTTCTCTTCTGTTCATCCCTTTGAATCCTCTACTCATGTTCCCATTTTAACCAATCCTTCCATGGACTTATTTCAAGAAGATACCACACTTCAGTCAACATATGAGTCATCTCTTCCAAATTTTTCTTCTCCTCATCTTGATGTAGGTTCTTCTAGTGACACCACTTTGGACACTTCTGATGTGTCTACCCAATCCTTGGATTCTCCACCATTGGTCATTCCTTCCTTCTCTAATCGTCGTTCCACCATAGTAAGTCAATCTCATGTTCGACTTCAGAATTACCATTGTTATTATAATAAAACTTTTCTTTATGAACCTCACACTTATAAAAAAGCTAGTACTAAACCTCTTTGGTAGCAAGCAATGACAGATAGCTTACAAGTTTTAGACAAATCTCATGCTTAGGATTTAATTGATTTGCCTCCTGGTAAGTCCGTTGTCGGTTGTAAATGGGTGTACAAGATTAAGACAAAAGCAGATGGTACTGTGGACCGCCATAAAGTTTGCCTCGTTGCAAAAGGCTTTATTTGGGAATATGACATTGACTATAAAGAGACTTTTGCTCCTGTTGGCGTCTTACCTTTGTTCACAGTTTTCTTGCTGTCACCGCTGATAAGCGTTGATCTTTATTTCAGATGGATGTTAAAAATGTATTCCTAAATAGCGATCTCACCAAGAAAGTTTATATGGTACCTCCTCCTAGCTACCCTCATCCTTCTCACTAAGTGTGTTGATTACGTCACACATTATATGGATTGAAACAGTCTCCTCATCCATGGTATTCCAAGTTTAGCTCCACAATAGCATCTCTTGGTTTTATATCTAGTACCTACAACTGTGCTATTTTTGTTCGACATACTTCTTGTGGGTCAATTCTTCTACTCTTATATGTGGACAACATGGTTATTACTCGAGTTGATCGTACCATAATTTCAAAACTCCAACAATATCTTAGTCAACAGTTTGAGATGAAAGATTTTAGGCAACTTAATTACTTTTTAGGTTTAGAGGTTGCCTTTAGATTCATCTGGTTATTATCTTTCTCAAGCCAAATATACCATTGATCTCCTTTCTAAATCAGGTTTCGCTGACACCAAGGTCACCTCGACTCCTCTTAAGACCAATTGCAAATTTGATGTTGGTGATGGGACCACCTCTCTTCCGAATCCTACCCTCTATCGATAGCTAGTCAGCAATCTTATATGTCTCATTGTTACTCGCACCGACATCGCTTATGTTGTTCATATTATTAGTTAATACATGACAGTACCCAGTACGACTCACTTTGCTGTAGTTCTTCATGTTCTTCGCTATGTCAAGGGTATGTTATTTCATGGCCTTCACTTTTCTACTCATTCTATATTGGAGTTGACAGTCTATTCAGATGTTGACAGGGATAGCAACTCTCAAGATCCTCCACTATAGGCTACTATTTCTTTTTTAGCACCTCCCTTATATCATGGCATAGCAAGAAAATGTCCATTGCTGCTCGCTCTAATACAAAAGCTGAATATCGAGCTCTTACTAATACAACATTGCATTTTTTATGGTTATGATGGCTACTAGAAGATATGTGAGTGCGTCATCATGGTGGGACAGTCCTTCATTAAGACAATCGCAGTGCTATTCAAATTGCACATACTGATGTTTTTCATGAACACACCAAACTCATTGAGATAAATTGTCATTTCATCCGATATCGCATTCTTTGTAGTACTATTCTTTCCACTTCATCAGCCAACCAGACTGCCGATGTCTTCACTAAGACACATCCATGTGACCACTTTTTGGATTTTTTTCTCCAAACTCCAGTTGACTTCTTTCCAGTCACCTAGAGTTTGAGAGGGGTTTTAGATGTATATATTTAAGATTAGGTTAATTGTAGTTTACATTAATTGTAATTAAATCAGGGAGGGCTTATACTATTTATTTGGTAATGTTAATATACCACGCTTTCCTCTCTTTTACCACAAACCACACAAATCTCAACTATTACTTATAGAATGTGTGAATAAGAACAAAATTTAGTATAATATGATTTTTTTCAACGACAACCCCGATTTCATATCTATCTCCCTAGCTATAGTGAGATCTTAGATTTTTAACATTCATCGACCTCAAATTCTTTCAATATTATATTCCGTTATTCCGTAGATTTCTAATCGGAGATCTTCAATGCACAAGTTTCGAATAAGTAGTGTCGCTTATTACATATTCAACAAAAGACTATCGTCTGCTAAAAGATTACCATGACGGGTTATGGGTAACCCCAACAAGAACCCGATTAGTTAACCTACCCCAATTCCATCCTTAAGCGCAGGGGCTAAATTGCAAAATATTACGCGAAGAGGGGACTAAATTTGCAAATAGAAGCAAACCCAGGGACTTCTCTAGCGTCTCATCCTACGTCATTCCCTTCCTGCCTGTACTTACAGCGATACGCTCCGTCTCGATGCGAGAGCTGTTCGAAGAAAATATCTTCTTCTTCTTCTTCTTCATCTTCGAGAGCTGCTCCGTTAGGGTTTCGGAAGAAGCTTCAGGAGGCTCGCATCGGCCGCCTCCCAGAAGGCGTAAAAGGTACCCCGAAAATCCCCCACGATTCCTCTTTTACCTTGGCGCGATTGATTCGAGCCTTCGGGTTTCTACGACCCGACTCTCTGGAGCTGCGATGTCGCGTGTTTCTGGTCGGCGTCAGCTGGTCGAGGTCGGTTAGGGCCGCGGTTGAATTCGTTGCGCCTCGATCTCTTAGGTTCGGATCGGGTGGGTCTCGATCTGCTTCGGTAGTTTGCCCCGATCTGGTCTTAGATTTGAGAAATGGGATTCGCGGGATGGTTTGGTGGTGTGCCTGGCTTGACCGAGCGCGTGGTAGTCCCTGATTGGTCGTGGTGGGTGTGCTGGATGGAATCGATGCCGGGTTGATGTAAGATGCGTGCCTGGGTTGACCCGTGTGTTAGATGGTGGATGTGGTGATATGGGTCTGTCTCTTAGGATTTATGGGAAGTTGATTCCACGTTAGCTTTTTTGGGAACAGGCATCTTGCGATTTGCATCCAGAAGTTCCTTCTAATTTTTTTTCAATTGGGTCATCCAAGTGTGTTTCTTTTCATGAGCTCAGTTATCTTTTCACGATTTCGCTTACTTTGTTTATACGCGGGTTTTCTCATTTAAAAAAAATTGCCCTTTTTCTCATTGTTTTCCTTTCCGTCGTCAGTCTTCAGAAGTTCATTTGAAACTTGGTGTACCTGTCCTGTTCAAGAAGTTTTGCCAGTTTTTGCGAATAGATCAAGGAAGGACATCATTTTTCCGGCATTACTCTCCGAGGCATAAGACTTTTCAAATATCAGAGCTGACCGAGCATTAGAAAATTGCTTCTGGGCATGTATTACAAAAGTGTCCTTTTATTCTTTTTTATGAGCTTACCGGTTTTTTTCTCTTCCTCTTTCATAGAGGAATTGCAGAGCTGTGCGAAAAGTTGCTTCTGCGAAAAATGAGGCCTATCTTCTGTGGGAATTTTGAGTATGATGCCAGACCATCTGAATTGGAAAGACTTTTCCGCAGATATGGAAAAGTCGATAAGGTGGATATGAAGTCTGGTAAGTGCCTTGTCTCCGCTGCATGTATGACTACTACTTCAATTCTTTTTGCTTCCTTTTATTGTTTCTGTGGTTGTTCACCTTTTCTGGTCACTCAATCAAATTGATGAATCTGGCAAGCCTGAATGTTTTCTGTGATGAATGCGTGGCAATTCCAATCAGGTCACCATCTATCAATACATATTTCAATTGGCTTGGTAGTTTCTCTTGAATGCCGTTGATTTATTTACTTTATCACATTGGTAAAAATTCTTTCTGTGGAACTTTATCCATTTCTTTCTCTGGGGTGAGAGATAATCATGGAGGCAGAAGTAGAATCATTTAAGCCTGAATTTGCAGCTGGGTAAATTCTGTTCACGATTTTTTCGTAACATTGTCATCTTGGAGGGTTCATCATGAAAGGGGTTAACTTCTTAAAGTGGTGATATTACCGGTTAAGACAAACTTAACTCAAAGCTGCTGGGCTATCTTCTATTCTAAGAAGCACTTTGGCCCACCTGCATAGTTCAGGTCGAATGCTGTGTACAGAAATACATTTCCCTATACGAACCAAGTAAACACAACGGCGCCTGTGTTCTCTACCATGGAGGTGATTCGTTGGAGTCAAGAGTACCATCTCAAGAGGATTCAGTTCTCTTCTGTGCCGGCTTGCAGCTGTTTAACTGGATTACTCAACTTGTGCATCTCCTTCTGAAATCTTCCGTGATTGAGTTTTAGATGGGGGTTCAAAGAAAAAAGAATATTTTATGCGGTGTAAACCCCCATACTCAATATTTTCTTTGACGCAGGATTAACTTGGCATAATCATATACCTCTCGGCTAATGGATGGCTCTTCAGAATCCTGTTTCATGCCTGGAATGAGCTTCCTCTTCTTGTTATTAAGAAGAGATACTCTGATCCGCAAATGGCACTACCATCCCACACTTTATTCAGATACCATTGCTTTTACCATGTCATCACATTCCTCCGGCCTTGAGTTTCAGACATGTTTCAAGGTCGAAACATTACCGACTCCACTCGCAGAAGAAGCTGAATAGATGGTGAAGGCACGCATTTACATTGACCCATTTGAGACATCCACATTTGCGTTGTTGTTCCTTGACATCACTTAGTCCATCTCACAAGGTCTGTTACTTACTTATTAGTCAGTTAGTTTATAGATTAAAGAGGTTGGCAGGATAGGTTTGAGGGGCGGTCCTGTGTTGTTGGTGGAAGTAACGGGCACACGATATCAAGGATGATATCACAGGGGATATCTAACTATGCGTACCTCTTCTCTTATATTAAAAAATTCTTATTTCCTTAATCTTGTTTGATAGGATTCGCTTTTGTCTACATGGACGATGAGAGAGATGCTGAGGATGCAATCCGTGGACTGGACCGGATAGAATTTGGTCGAAAGGGACGCAGGCTTCGTGTGGAATGGACCAAGGTATTTTTGGAATTGCTGATTGTTGCGAGCATCACTAGGCCTTTTTCCCTCTAGGCGATTTTGGCATGTCTTGTTAGTTTTGCGTATGGTTTTGTCATGCATTTGTTCTGACTGTTTGATTCGTCATGCAGCACGAACGTGGCGTAAGAAAGCCTAGTGGTTCAAGGCGATCCTCAACAACCATGAGACCCTCAAAGACCTTGTTCGTTATTAACTTTGATACTTATCAGACCAGAACTAGGGATCTGGAGAGGCACTTTGAGCCATATGGGAAGATCGTCAGTGTTAGGATTAGAAGGAATTTTGCATTCGTCCAGTATGAGTATCAAGAGGATGCTACAAAAGCATTGGATGCTACAAATATGAGGTGCGTTCTTGTTTTCCCTTCTCCTTAGTAGAGTTGGACTAACTGTAGGATTCATTTCCAGGAGAAAAATCATGTTCGATGTTTGAGTGGTTTCAGATTTTTGGCTTTTTTGTCACTTTCTTAAATGGTTTACTTCTCATCGTGTGCAGCAAGCTGATGGATCGAGTGATATCAGTGGAATATGCTGCTCGAGATGATGATGATAAGAAGGATGGGTACAGCCCAGACAGAGGTCGTGGCAGGTCACCTGAAAGAGGTTATGATAGGAAGCGGTCTCCTAGTCCTTATAAAAGAGACAGAGGTAGCCCTGATTATGGTCAAGGTGCTAGTCCTTCTCGAAGAGAGAGGGGAAGTCCTAATTATGGTCGTGAATCTAGCCCCATTGACCGTCAGGCACGGAGAGCAAGCCCAAACTACGGTCGAGGTTCGAGCCGCAGTCCTCGTCGAAGGGAGAGATCTCTTTCTGGGGGTAGCCGCAGCCGCAGCCGCAGCTGCAGCCGAAGTCCATATAAGAGGCAGATGGTCAGCCGAGGTAATGGTCGTGACCGTAGCCACAGCCCATATGAAAAACCAGCAGTGGGACCTAACAATGGTCCCGACCGCAACAGGAGTCTTGACAGGGGAGAGGAAAGCCCTGAAAATGGTCGTGAGCCCCTTACGGATCGTAATGGGGATGCTGCCCGTGATGTTGGTGTAGAAAGTCCTGCATCAGGGGGGCGCCACAGGTCTGTATGATTTTCAACTTTTGTTCTTGCTGAAGTTTCGACAAAGTTGAAGCGTGTCTGATTTTTCCCTTTTTTTCATGTTCAGCTATTCACCTGCAGCAGAGGATTGAAGTTTGTGCTGGCGAGTGAAGAAGGAACTTTTACCTAGTTACATCAATGTCTTTCATTAGCATTCAAGTTTTTAATTTTGTTCTTTCTTTGCTGACTGCTTCGGATTGAAGTGTTAGTGGGATCCAATTTAAGACCTGCATAGTAGTTGTTGCGGATAGACGTTGATTGTTGTAAGTTCCTTTCATTTCATGGAGATTTAATAGTCCTTTCAAATTCTGATGAATCGAATCTCTCTTATATTGATGGCCATGGGGCACACATTATCGTAATGAGTGGATCTAAACCATGCACATGCATCCACGGACACATTCTGCACAGCCATGAGGCGCAATGCACTTAGCAGTTACTTGTAAGGATCGGTACATGATTTTCATCTGCCAATAATTATGATACTTGAGCAGGAGCGGGATCTGGATCCCGTCAGTATTGTGTGATTTTTCCGGGATCCCGACCAAACTATCCTGGGCGCTTTAGCACCTTGTTTTTCTTTTGTTAATGCTGATAACAGAATTCAACTTGGTGTGTTCGTCAGCGTTCTTTTGCTTGCCCATTGGAGGAGTGCAAACAATCACTGGTTGCTGCTTGGTAGAGCTGGAGCTGCGACGATAACAGAAATTAGCTTGTGAGGTTTCGCGTTATTCGATCGGCGCTAAGAGCATCAGATTAAAGGACGGCTAGTCATTTGGCTGCTTCACACCTCGACTGCACAAACACTTTCATTCATGTAGAAAGTTGCCTTGTCTGTCTCTCGCGGGGAAGTTCATTTAACGAAAGTTGGAAAGTACGCGTTCAAGACTCAACAGGATTTACCCGTAAGGAGCTGGTTTGCAATCTAGCGGCATTATCAATTTCTTTTTGTCCTATTGTAGTTGTTATATGGATGCAGCACCATTTGGGAAATAGTTGCAGTTTCCATCATATACCTATGATGTTTGGCACTTGCGGCGAAAGACCCAAGTTTCCTATGTCGCTAGAACCAAAATGGATTGGCGCTGAGGAAACAAATGGCGAAGAAGACAACTCTTGGCAAGGAATCGGAAACGAGTTTTGGCCAGAGACAAAATCGGAACGCGAATGTTTGGGAGGAGATGCCTAGCTATATTGATAGTCCTTGGACTGAGACTTTAAGAATCCTTTTAGATTACACCCACCTTCATTCTTTGACCTATGCATAAGCCAGATGTTTTAGGCTGAACCTTGATAACCCCTCCAATCTTTAGGTATTCAGAACTGAACTTCTAATCGTAGATTAACGCAAGAGATCTAAAAACGTGGGTTTAGAAAAAATTTATATAAAAATATATTTGTCGTGAAAGCTGAGGTGCAAACTCCAGCGACTCGCTTCCTGTAAGCAAATGAAAAATGGTGTATTGGTAATTCTTCTAGAGATGTATTTCTGTCAATACAAGATGCACATACACTTGGGGATAAAACAAAGGGGAGTCTCTTTTCTTTGCGGGCAACACTTGAGCATGCCACTAACCAATACAGATCGAGGGGACAAGGGGAGTCGCAGCCCCCTTAACTACTTGAAGTTTGGTGAAATTTTTAAAAGATGTATACTACATATGAAATTTCATATAACTATAACATATATATGACTTGCCCTCTAATTCTTTCATTTATATCGCATCATCCAATATAGGCTTATGTGTCCATCACTGCAACTAGCTATCATCGCAAACTAGAAGACAATACCAACTTGTATGCACTGTTGCACCATCCCTTGTGTGCGTAAGCAAAAATTTGGCTCCTCCGAACCATTGTTATAGTTTTCCACTTACATCCAACACTGGAGACAAAATGGACATTGAGTTAGGCGAAGAGGACAATTTTTTCAATCCCCAAAGAAAGGAGATTGACGAAACTTGGTTGTAATTAGAGACGATCAAAATAAAAGGGAATGTATGGATGCTTCTTGCTACTACTCGAAACCTTAAACATCTGATTCGAATGATTGTAATTGGACTGAGACTTTAAGAAACCGTTTTAGATAACATCACACATTCTTTTGACGTATGCCTTGATATACGCATATCAGGATTCTCAATCAAAATCTCGAGCACAAGAAGAGTGTTCAACTATGCCTCGAATATGGATCCTTTCAATCATGAGGGTTTCGAAGTTAGTAGAATAATGGGTCTCTGTTCTGTCATCAAGCTTATGCTTATGTGTCTGTTTTCTCATTGTCAACACTTGAAGACGATATTAGAATTTGGAAGCTAATCCACAAGCGGTCGAAACAAGAGTTCTCATCGCATTGGGACAGCATTTCTCTATAAGTTCCTAAGTTCCCCTCTTGGACACCCACGCATTGGTCTTTATGGTGCCAACGTTCGAACCTTGCCATTTTCCTCATTTTTCACTAAGGCTGTCCCCAGAAGACAACAAATTTGAAGAAAGGAGAAGAAGAGAAAGGCCTACTAGATATCAGTTTCCCAATTAGCCACATCCAACCGTTTTGAGGGCAGCAAAAGTCGCCACGAGAAGCGGCGATGCTTCCTTCAACAAAGTTGTTCGTTTCTTTTTTAGGACCAATTATTGAAGACTCGACAGGGAAATTATATTTGTTCATTTCTTGTTCGTATTCCTTTCGAGAATAAGACGGTGTATGGTTCAGCATTTGGACAGACATCAGGGTTTATTAGCTTGGTTTTTACCATCCTAAGGGAATCCCCATCTTCTTGGGCTTTTTTCCGCCTTTTTTTCTGTTGGAATAAGATTGGCTCAGCTTGGTCATCACCAGATGGGGTGTCATTTTGGCTGCTTTCCACACACCACACACGCGTTGAAAGAGTACACCGAAAGGTGGGTTCTTTGTTTTCTTCCCATCTCGACTACCGAAAGGTCGATTATAGAGCATGACAAAATCGATTCAAAGGGAGAGTTTTCTCTGAATAATAATCCTGATCAAGCTAGGACAAAGGGTCTTTCGGCTTTATCTCCACATACTTTGATGGAGCAGAGCGTTTCAAAAGCATGCACGTAAAGTATCTCTCTTTGAACATCGAATGGGGGAAAGAATCATTATTGCATGGACGTTCGAAGAGCACGTTTTATAGAGCGACCAAAGAAAAGGGACATTGTCTACATGCGTTAAGGTCAAAAGGGCGTGCCCTGAACTGTGGGCTCCTGGTCATACTTTGAAGGTGCCACTGTAGAGCTAAGAAAAAGACCAATCCACTCGCGAATCTTGATTGGCGTGGAAACGCTGAAGCCGTCCACTGGTCAGGTGTTTCAACTGTTACTTCAGCTTTTACTTGTGGGATATTCACCAACAAAATGCTGACTTGACTTCTCTTTCTTGGGCTTTTTGGCCCCCTTTTTTTGGTTTATTGAGTTAAAGTTTGAGATGCCTATATTCTGCCCCCACGGCTGACAAGAACAATCAACCACACAGACTGCCCCTGATTCTGTGGGATGATTGATGCTTTTCTCTTGCATCGATAGTTACGGTGGTCCAGTTATGAAACTTGGTACTTCATGGAGCAGAAAAGATGGAAAGAAAATTTGACGAAAAAGGCTAGGTTGTCTTGCATGCGCCGACAGAGGAGCAGGAGTCAAAATTCGCTAACCATTCTCACACATAACTCAACGGTTTGGTAATCAAATAGCTAGATAAGGAAATTGAGGATCATGTGTGTGCTGCGTCACAAATCCAATCTTGATGTTCTTATAATTTGATATTATCTGTTTATTTTATCGCTCACACAGAAACAGATTGAACGACAGAATTCTACAATGTGGGAGTTACTCTATTAAAAAACAAAATGTCTCGATTTGGATCATCCGGAGCTAATGAAGTTAGCTAATCACTCTAGAATCGCCTCTCCAGTCGGGTCAAATGCAATACATCCTCGCTAGGCACGCTTCTCGAAAGTACTACAAATCTCAATCTTTCTACCCCTAAATCGATTTCAAATGTTGCAGGAGGATTTTAACTCCTTTGTGTACTGTACGTGCACAGTATGCCAAGAACAGTGAGGAGACAGTGGAGGAGAGCGTTGGCATATTTGGCATGAGACCATTTCAGCCGTCCGCCATGAAGAGGCCGACAAGACAAGAAGGGAGGTGGCGAAAATCTATTAGTTCGTACTTATTCATTAAACCCATTCATTTCTTTGTGATTGTATGCGTGCGTGTGTGAGGGGCCCCGATTGTGTAATTTCTTGTCTCCATCCGAGAGATGGAAAGAGCTTTGAGGGAAAAAAAGAAAGAAACCAAAATCTTGTCTCTGTCCCTAGGACTACCCCAATACAACCCCTTCCACATGTTCATGCCCCCTCCTTCCCCCCCTTCGATGGCCTTTATTCTAAGCTCAAAACCATACTCGTGCCCACAGCTACATCCTTGTATCAATCTGTGATACCCTCTTTCCAATTGTTTCTAATTCTTTTTGGAAACCATGTCTCTGTAAACCTAACCTTCTGGTCGGAGCGTATCCTGCTCAGGACTGGATGATTCTCGAACCGTTTATTTCTTCTTCTTTTTTAGATATGTAATCCATTGTTCGCTCGTGAGCATTTAAGATTTGATATGCGATCGGCGACCCGGCATTGTTACGTGATTTGACTATAGGACAGCTTCTGAGCGATGACCGTGCCACGGATGATTATATGACTTTATTTCTCTTGTTTTTCCCTCTCTCGGCGAGAAGAAGATAAAAAGAGGCGCATGGGTTCAAAATCTTAGTTAGAGGGAGGAAAACAGTTATTTGAATTCATCTTGGGCCGGACACAAGGGACATACGCTAAGGTCATGAGAACATGTTAAAAATACATGGTCCATTTCAATCCTCCTCCCCTATATATACCCGTCCAAGACCACTCATCTTAATCCCCCCTCCACCTCTCTCTCTCTCTCTCTCTCTCTCTCTCTCTCTCTCTCTCTCTCTCTCTCTCTCTCTATCTCAAGCCTTTTCGAGAGTTTGTGGCGAGCCAGGCAGTCAACATAATGTGTCAACAAGCATCTTCTTCTCCTCTGTTCTGCAAACGTGAGAAGGACAGCAACTCATCTTACCGTCCCTCGATGGAGAACCCAGACATTGAGTCTGATGTGAACACCCCATTAGTCGTCAAAGCCTCGCCAACTGGACGACCATCTAACAGTACCCATCTCCCACTCTCTCAGGCCGTCAAGGAGGCCAAGTCTATCTCCCGCATAGCCCTCCCCATGATCCTCACCGGACTCCTCCTCTACTCGCGCTCCATGATCTCGATGCTCTTCCTCAGCCGCCTCGGCGACCTCGCCCTCGCCGGCGGGGCCCTTGCCGTTGGCTTCGCGAACATCACCGGCTACTCCGTCCTCTCCGGCCTCGCAATGGGCATGGAGCCCATCTGTGGCCAGGCCTTTGGTGCTAAGAGGCTTTCCGTCTTAGGCATCACCCTTCAAAGGACCGTCCTCTTGCTCCTCCTGACCTCAATCCCAATTTCTCTCCTCTGGCTCAACATGAAATCCATCCTGCTCATGTGCGGCCAGGACGAGTCCATCTCGGCCCAAGCTCAGTCCTATCTTCTCTACTCAGTCCCTGACCTTTTGGCTCAATCTCTGCTTCACCCACTGAGGATCTACCTCAGAAGCCAATCCATCACCCTCCCCCTCACCTTCTGTGCCTCTCTCTCCATGCTCCTCCACATACCCATCAACTACTTCCTCGTCTTGCACCTTGGCCTCGGCATCAAGGGCGTCGCGCTCAGCGCCGTCTGGACCAACTTCAACCTCGTGGTGTCTCTGGTGATTTACATCATCTGGTCTGGCGACCACAAGGACACCTGGGGTGGCTTCTCATTAGAGTGCTTCAGAGAATGGAGGACCCTCCTCGGTCTCGCCGTCCCAAGTTGTGTCTCGGTGTGCCTCGAGTGGTGGTGGTACGAGATCATGATCCTGCTTTGCGGCCTATTGCTTAACCCTAGGGCGACCGTTGCATCAATGGGGTTACTGATACAGACAACAGCATTCATCTATATATTCCCATCGTCACTCAGCTTCAGCGTGTCAACAAGGGTCGGGAATGAGCTCGGTGCAAACCGCCCTAAAATGGCACGGCTTGCAGCCGCCGTCGGGCTCGGGCTCAGCTTCATCCTAGGTTTCTCGGCACTGCTCTTCGCCGTGACGGTGAGGAACCATTGGGCCGGGATGTTCACAGTGGATCGGGACATTGTGGCATTGACATCAGCGGTGCTGCCAATCATTGGGCTGTGCGAGCTTGGGAATTGCCCACAGACGACTGGCTGCGGCGTGCTGCGAGGGAGCGCGAGGCCCAAGATCGGCGCTAACATAAACTTGGGGTGTTTCTACCTGGTCGGGATGCCGGTAGCAGTTGGGCTTGCATTCTATTGCCGGGTCGACTTCGCAGGTTTGTGGCTGGGGCTTTTGGCGGCACAAGCATCGTGCTTGGTGAGTATGTTGGTGGTGCTAGGGCGTACGGACTGGGAACACCAGGCCCTGAGAGCTCAGGAGCTCACCAAGGCCAAGGCTTGTGTTGCTGTGGATGACGGGGGTGATGAAGTTGAGGAAGAAGGGAATAAGAAGAAGAGGATGCAGCACAATAATGGTGAACTCAAGGAAGATGATGATAGTTCACCCGTTTGATGGAAAATTCTTCTTTTGAAGTTCTCACCGCTTCTTCATTCTCGTTTTTCCTCATCTTTCCGGGGGGTTTTTCTGGGTCAATCTCGTATTCTTGAATGTGCAGTTTTGAGAGAGAGAAAGAGAGAAAAGGAGGAGAGGGAAAGCCTCTTTATCTTGAATAATGCTAACATGTCACATATTAATTTGAAAAATTTACATGTCGGATGATTTCATCCGAGGTTTGAATGCGACCTACGCATTTAAGTGATCGAATACTATACGTGTTATCTTACACGATATATTAATTTTGTACGAGAATCTTCATATTTTTCTTTTATGTGTTGTTTATGTAGAGGGGCCTGTGTGGTTGTCTTCAATATTGTAAGTCTTGTGGAGATATGAGAATTTTCTTTTCAATGCCGCCTAGCAATAGCAAAATCAATGGAATGGATTATCACTAATGTATACAAAACTGATCTATGATATTCTTGATCTTTCAAGGGTTTGATGGGATTTTCAGTGTGATGGTAGTGTAGGGATTTGATAAATTCATTTCATACTTATATCAAGTGTTCTTCCATCCATCTCTTGCATAGTTAAACTAAGATATCAGAGGTAGTAGAGATAAACTGTACATGGCTCAGTAGATTACCTCTTTAAACTATAAAAATCTACATATTTGTTCTAACTTATAAAAAGAAAAAAAAACAGCTTTTTCGTTTATCCCCAAAGTTTAAAATATTATATAGCTTTCAAGAAGTTGTGAAAAATATATATATGCGAAATTTTTGTGTCAACATTTATATATTGCAAAAGTTTAAGTTAGTTAACCTTTAGAAAAAAATCAGATTGCATGTGCCGCAAGATTCGGAAAAGGAAAAAGAAAAAGACTCTATTTATTTGAATTGTCCATATTTCTATCACTCAATCGCTAAATATTTTGCATTTTATCAAGAAGGGAAAAATCCACCAAAAATCCAAACTATGTTCACTGTGAGACATTTACCCTAAACATTTTTTTGTGACCTCAAAAATCTCAAACTTGTACCTGTGTAACAGATTTACCCTCCATCAAAGTTCTATCAATGAGAACCATCTAAAATCTGCCTATATTGATGCTAGAAAGCAAATGTTTTCACATGACGCTCACGTGATTTAAGTGAAATAAAAACAATATTGGTTCGACTGGCGGAACCTTAATGGAGGGTAAATGTGTCATGTCGGTAAAGGTTTGGGGTTTTTTATGTCACAAGAAAAATTTTAGGGTAATTGTCTCACAGTGGGCATAGTTTGATTTTTTGATATCACAAAAAAGAAGTTCGGGGTAAATGTGTCAGATTAAGCATAGTTTGGGGTGTTTTATGACTTTTTCCCTATCAAGAATATAGCCAATGCTAATGAAAAATCATGTAAATAATTCTTGGAATAATGGAAAGATATTCAATGGAGAATTTACGTAACTTTTAGCCCAATCTAATTTGATCAAGAAAATTAGTGAGGGCTGAAGATGTTACAGTAAATTTGAGAGTGTTAGGTGAAAAAAGTTTCACATTAGAGATGCAAAGCAATGTGGAGTAATTAATATATCTTAGTTAACCTATAACTCATTGATCTAAGTTTTTGAGTAAAAATAGTTTAACTAGACATGTTGACGTGCTCAAATTTTGGCTCCGTCTTGGTAATCTTCCTAGGTGAAAGGTATTGGATTTCCGTTGCGTCAATCGGCTAATAAGTGGTAGTAGAGCCAATATAGTTGATTTGTGCCCCACTCCCAAGGTGTATCTGTGTTTGGAGAATATCTCACAAAAGGAAAATCTCGAATGTGACTCCCTAATCAAGGTGGCAAATGATGTCCCCAAGCTTCCCGGCAAGCTTGTCTCGGCCAAGGCGATTGAGTTGGAAGCTGAATAGTAGGTGTTGTCCTCACCAATGTCTGCCAAGCTTGGCAAGGTCAAGGTGGAGATTCTCGATTTAAGATAATGTTGGTGAGGAAAGATACCTTTGATTAAGGGAGTGAGGGCCTAATGTAGGTAGCTCGAATGTGAGGGGAGATTTGTTAAGATTAACATGTGAGAGTATCAGGTAAAAGAAATTCCACATTAAGATACCGTGTCATATGGAATAGTTCATATACTCCTAGTTGGCCCGTATCATTGGTTCAAGTTTTTTAGTAAAAGTAGGCAAATTGGATAGTTGGTGGATATGTTGATGGATTTAGACTTAGGCTCCCTCTTGTTAATTTTCTCAGGTGAAAGACGTTGGAACTCTGCTATGTTGAGAGCCAACAATAGATTTACAAGTTCATACGAATACAACTTGGAAAACCCATCACCTGAAGATACAAATTGATCACATTTTGTACTCTTTACAAATCCAAAAGGCCAAATCTAAAATTTACTTAGTCTGGCCAAAGGCTAGCATTACCTAGATGAATTCTAACATTAACTATTAACTCAACAAGATTCTAGAAATTGGGAAAAAAACATATATATGGGCTCAACAAAGACATAGAATTTTCATAGTTTAGGCATAACTTCCTATCAAAGAACTCGAATTGCACGAAACATGAAGCCCTAGAGATTAGACCTAAACTATCCAAGGGTATAACGTTTGAACTTAACAGTGACATTCTAGCACTTAGTGTCGGAATAGAACTAATCCTCTTGGAGTGATCCTTCGCCAAGGTCAAGGCTAGAAGACGGCTATTCTTTTTCATCCGTATCTCTAGTACATGAGTAATATCACCTGGTATTTTGTCTACACATAGCTAGATGAAACAGCAAAATTGTACTACGATTCTTTACGAGAGAGCAATGAACATAAGAAAAAGCTATGCATGCGAGTAAAAAATTCCGCGCGACTCACAAGATTTCAAAACGAGAAGGTTAATGGAGACACTTTTTGGACTTTGAAAAACGTGTGAGCTTCAACCGTTTAAAAGCCAAGGAGAAAATGTTTTGTCAACAAATCGAACAAAATCTCTTGATTTGGTGGGTGTTTGAGAAAAATAAGCCTCAGATGCGTCCCCCAAAAAAAGGTTTCGACGTTGATTGACAGAAGAAAGATAATTTCCAAGCTGTCATTTGACCTCTAACCCCTAGTTTTAGGGTAGTTACGGTGAGAAAAAAAGGATAAAGGGAAAGAAAACTTTGCTAGGTGAAACCATTCAAAAACTTCGTGTACATACCGAGTCAAAAAACACACATGTGGAACGAAAGAGACGTGCCAGATATGAAACAACGTTCAAACAGATACGTCGCATGGATGTTTCTGTTGTTTTTACAATGGAGTTCCTGGCTTCTGCATCAGCTGATTTACCCTGGAAAAGAAACAAGAGCCCCACCCAAAAACGATAAACAAGTAAGAAAACCCCCCATCGACCATGCTCTTTCGCTGTGTAAACACGATTAACGTTAGCGTACGACGTGTCGCGAAGCAGGAAGACGTGAGTGTCGGGTTGGTTGGGCTCCATAACCAGAAATGACGTCTCGTCTTCGCAATCTCGAAGCCGGCATTGAGACCGGGTCTCTGTCTTAATCTCTCTCTCTCTCTCTCTCTCTCTCTCTCTCTCTCTCTCTCTCTCTCTCTCTCTCTCTCTCTCTCTCTCTCTCTCTCTCTCTACGTACGTGTCCTCCAATACCCTTTTCTACTTTTCCTTTTCCTTTGTTTTCCATTCCTTTGACAAAACGTTAGGATGCAATAAAGAAAGAACGTCAGAGCTCAATCCCACGCCTCTCTTTGATTCCCGTTGCTTTTGCTTTTTCACTAATGCTCTGTATTCCGTACTACGTACGTCCGCATCAGCATTACAAAAATACAAGAACGGATAAAGTTTCGCGCGCTGAGCATCCGTTCAGCTGAAAGAAAAATGGGGGAGGACATGAAAAAACGACAACATGCGGCCTCTGAAACTTGCTGGACAGGTGGCGAAGGCGTTGACATTCTTCGACAAGCCATTTTTATTCGAAAGTCAACCCCAACCGTGAAAAAGAAAGCCGTCAACTTTGATAGATCCAGATGCTCCGCAATTCAACGCTGTTCTCATTGACATCCTGCAATATTCCCCCCCGTATTCCCTATCATGATTCGATACGTCGTGATAATTAAATTTACACGAGACTCCTAAGTGTTTGAACTTAAAAAAGTTGAATTTTTTAATGACTTTCGTATAATACATATTATCACTTGCATTAGGGATAGCTGGTGTAAAACAAACTTCACACATGCAGTATCTAAAGTCAAGTGTTTGCCTTAACTTTTAAGCGTTGTAATTTAAGCGGCTTCTCCTATCACGGAAACTCCTATCTATTATCAAGATGAGATTAGATTAGTATAGCAAAATTAATACTAAAACTTTATCATTCTCAAAGAGATTAACTACAGTAGGGTTGATAAATGTACAGTTGATCAATAGATCTATTTTTAAGATAGAGATAATGACACAACTGGTCCCTAAATTTTGGCCCAATGTGCAATGTGATCCTTGAACTTTAGCTTAATGTGCAATGTACTTCCTTAACTTTTAATTTTTTCAATACGGTTCCTAGATTTTTTGTACATGTTCAATGTAGTTCAAGATAATAAGCAAGTTTAAGACGCATTGATATTGATTGAAGTGCACCAAAGATTCCTGGATCTGGAGCATGAAAATGTAGCATTTGCTGAAAAACTAAGGCCAAGAGATTATTACGTTTACTAAGCAATGCTACCACATACGTACTCCTTCCAAACCCTAAATTTTGAAGTCGTAGAACAATCTGGCGTGGGCTTCGTTTGTACCGCCCGATTACTAGGTTTTTTCAACTAGTTTGTCAGATCTGATCGTTGACTTCCGTAGTACGTTCGTCATGGATTTACTAGTTTACTCCATTCGAGGAAATTCATTTAACTCGATCGATATAAAACGAGTTGATTTCATCGGATGAGCATGTTGTGCTACCTTGTATGATGGCCTTGTCCAACAAATTGCATAGTGAAAAAAGAAAATCATATAGGTTGAACATATACCATGTGGGATTGGACGCACATACTTCTTTCTTTTGCTACTACAAATCCATCTTGTGCAACCCTAAGAAGTAAGAAGTTCTTTGCATCAAGCGAAGCCCTTATCTTAAGATCTCCCACAAAGACAGAACACTTTCGTACAATCCGATGTCGTTAATTTTGGGGTATGATTCGTACTCCCCATTGATAGGAAAACACGGGGTTCTCGCTCTCAGGTGAGCGGATGGGGGTCCAGGGGGCCGCCTTGGCGGGGGTCGTAGGGGGCAGTGCTCTCCCGATGCCAGAGGGCTTTTATAATTTGAGCCCGTATTTATTGGTAGTTTGAGTTTGG